GAATGAAAGATGTTTGCTCAAATATTAAATGGAATTGTTGAATACCCTTAGATGGAATCAATACATCAACAAAATCAACATGTTTATAAAAATGTAATAAAGATTCTATTTACTTATATATTGTATTTTAACAAAAAAATTCAGAAAAAAATTATGAAACTAAAGTCACTAAATATCACTAAAATCACACATCAGAAGTCACTAAATATGCAGAAATGTCCAAGTGGTAGAAAAAAATGTTAATAATTAAACTGGCTTTTGCCTCAGATTTATCAATATTTTTTCAATCAATCCCACAGTCATTTGCAACACTCAATTTGTTGTTGCAAATGACAAATAGTGACATAGACCAATCATCACTGATTTATGTAGTTAAATTTTTACAAAATATAATGAGATTTTGTGTAAAAATTAAAGATGCAATGAATATTTGGTTACTATTCAGTATTCAGCCGAATACCAAATACCTAAAAACAGGAGTAAGAAATAACAAAAACACAGTAAATTAATCATTTTGGTAACTTTCATTAATGCTGAACATACATTTCAAGTTTGAGAAAGTGTAATTTTTTTGCTTATTTATGTAAAAGATCAAAGGAAAAGTAATATAACTAAGTTATTTTTTAAGAGATCAAAAAAAGGTAAAAAATCAAATGAAAACTACCTACTTATGTAGTTTAGTCATGGGCACATTAGATCGAAACTTAGGTCATAAAATGTGAAAAAAATAATAATTAATGATCTGTAATTTTATGAAATCATCCTTTATTATAAACTTGAAAATTAAATTAACTTTTTTGTTTCATTGTACAAAATTATTTATTATAACTGAAGTCAATAAGTGGTAGGTTATGGTGCAGAAAAATCAACTTTTCCATATTTTTGGTAAGAAGTCTCTTCCTCTTTTCTTCATATACGTTTCCTGCTTCACTAAAAAGCCTCTCTGAATATACGCTGCTTGCAGGAGCTGATCAGTACTTAGCAGCAAGTTTGACTAAACATTGGGAAAATTTAGATTTATGTGTAGCCCACCAGGCAAATGGATTGTCGTTTCTTTTTAAAATTTTCATGCTCAAGTACGTATCAAGGTCACCTGCTATGGTGTTCTTTGAAGTCAACTTGTTTGATTTCATAATGCAACAGTGAAAAAATGTTTTTTGAAAATGTAGGCATTCTTTATGTATTTTGACCTCCTGAATTCAAAAATGATACTCAAAACATTGTATCACCCACAGTTTTGGCAGTAATCGTATACTTTGCCAATAATGATATCACATATAATAGTAATACATATATATGGCACACGAATCATGCAGAAGTAGAATACAAGTTTAAAACAACAACATATTGAAATATACGCACAGTGAACAGATGCATACAGAGAATGTGGTACAAAACATGCACTAACATCATTCATTCCGTGCTTTCTTAGTTGTCATGGCATGGCCCCTGCTTTTCCTCTTATGGGAAATTTCCCATAAGAGCTCACAATAAAGCATCCAGCAGTAGTCGCACATCATCCAAACAGCCCATGTGACAACAGTTCCCTGGTATCATCGTTCCATGTCCTTGATATCCTGATAGAATCTTTCACCCTGTTCCTCACTTACAGCACCCAGGTTTGGAGGAAAAAAGTCAAGATGCAAATTTAAAAAATGTAACTTCAAACTCATTGAGTATCCCAGCATTTTGAATTTCGTCAGCATGTTCTCAACTGTGTCGATATACTCTGGGCTACGATTGTTTCCCAGGAAGTTTTGAACCACACACTACCCTGTAAATAATCATAATCGTCACTTCTTTCAGGCTGTCTTTTCTAACTACTGGTGTTACGGTTCTCTCTCTGTTTTACTGTACTCCCTGGTTTATATATTAATTGTGTCTACCCTGTACTTTGTATCCCAATTTATTTTATTTGTTTTGTATATGTATTCTGGTTTATATAAATAAATGTGGGGCTCAACCTCAGGGACTCCCATAATAGCTTCTCTTCCCACTTTCCTATTTTACCAATTTAGTTCTTCACTCTTATGCTCTCACGCTATATACTCTTCTCCGCTTCTGCTCTAATGGCTATACCAATGAGTCCAGCCATCTCTTTCTTAACGCAGTATATTTCTGATAGAAATAATTCTTTTATATTTTCTTCTGAAAAAGCAGATTTATGCTGATATCTGCTATTAAAGATCTTTTGAACAAGTGGGAGGATGTCAGAACAACGGTCTTAAAATGGCATCAAACCAGGTTGAGGTTAATAGGCTTAGGGATCTCTACAATTACAATGCGATTAATTACTTCTGAAAAATCATGAAGAAGACAGAGAAGTAATCGACATTGGACAGATTCTTTAACCCCACAAATGGAAAAAACATCACAAATAAAAATGCAAGACTGTGTTTATATGTATTTTCAAAATTACATATGAATAAACGTAGTAAGAAAGTATATATCTTTTTATTTTTTGGGAGTCTCCAGAACGAATTAATCAAATTCCCATAGAAACCTATGGTAAATCAATAATCGGTTAACAAACAATTCGAATAGCGAACAAAGTCTTGGAACGGATTACGTTTGTTAACCGATCACCCATTGTATTTTCTTTGCTGTTACTCCCTTCTTTTAAGAGTTCAATCAATCAGGCTATTTATTTGTGACTTCAGAAAAACAGTAACCAGCAACATGTCAAAAATATGTTGGAATTTCTCTGAAAAAGAAAATGTGTTATATTACTACTGTTATTAATTAAATGCTAAGTAATTTGGCACTAGAAGCAGATGTTGGATGCTATCTCTTATTAAATTTAATAATTATAATTAAATAAATATTTTAATAATTAATTTAGAAAATACTATGTGGAGAAAAAGTGTTCTTGTGGAAATTATAAAAAAAAATTATTCTGCAGTTGAGGAGAAGGTTCATGATAACTATGAAGAGAAAAATGAAACGTAAGAAGTAATGATTTTGCTGATAAAAATGTGACATTGTTAGTGAAAAAAATAGCATGGGAGAAGATTCAAAATGAATTCTGTTTATCATTTCTTTGTTGATCAGCATGTACCATAGAACAATTGAAAGGCAAGAAAATGTAAAACTGTTCTAGCTTTTCTATTGTTCTATAATCATAAGGCCTTCAACAACTGTCAATGGCAATCCCTTTCCATTTAAATATTTAATTTTGTCACCAATATGATTTAAAATATGAACAAATCCAGATTTAGAAAATCTATACTGAATTTGAATTAGATTTGTAACAGATTACTCTCTCCCTTTGTTTTTGTTGAGATTAATAATGATTCTGTTGATTCATCCCATTTACAACATTTATCAAATTAACAATATCCATTTTTATCTAAACTTTGCAATGAAAAAATAAATACTCTCCAATGTTTATACTATATTCTCTCCTAGACATTGTGTCATTTTACTGCAGGCTGGATGTGTCTGTTAATGTTCAAGGTTGCCCAGATAGCATACCACAACATGGCAACTGAGAGTCATGCTGTTCACAATGTCACATTTTTGTCAGCAAAATCATTACTTCTTATTTTTATTTTTCTCAAATATTGTTATATTAATCCAAATTTTTCTTTTTTCATCTGATAGTACTGTATCTTGGGATGCCAAAACTATATAGTTTTTTTATTTTGAATTAATGCATTTTTAGATTTTTATTTGATTTTGTTCACATACTTGATAAATTCAATATACAGTATAAATAAAAATGATTTTAAATGTTTAAATCTAAAGTTGCCTATACTTCTTAAACATACTATAATAAGTAATAAGAACTTACAAGTTAGATCCTAAGTATCTAAATTTTCAGTTTTTATTGAAATCTTTACTATGAGTAAAAAAATAGAAAAAAAAGCAACTCACTGCTCAATGACAATTTTCCTGAAGAGAATATGGATTATAATCTCACTAAGTTGTTTGATTCCTTTTGTAATTATGTAAGTGATACCTATAAATGTATGAAGAAACAGACTACCATTGATAATTTCTTTATAAAATTATATGCCTAACTAATAGAATCAGAATATTGTAATGCAGCTTTGATTGTTTACTTGAAATACAATCAGATTGTGGAGCCAAGATGCTTATAACATTGTATATGTTGATGTGAAATGACACACACAATGTTCATTTCACAGAACATTGTATCTGTGACAATGTTCTATGACATTGTATCTGTGACAATGTTATAGTCTGTGACATTTTTGAAATTTAACGACCTGACACAATGTCCCTTTTCGTCATTAACCTTTCCTCTTTTCAAAATTTCTGTGTTCTAATTATTTGCATATGAGCGACTTGTCAAAGGTCCATCTCTACTGGAGGTCATTCGTTTGCAAATATAAACTCCTCCTATCTTGTTAAGCTACTTGGCATCAACCCTGATCACGTGTCTATTCTGTTTTGTCCCAACAGGAAGGTTGGAGTAAGACATCAGTCTAGACAATAATTTAACTTTTATTTTTAAATGACCATGTGTTATCTAAGAGGAAGTGGTGAGATGCTTGTCAGAGATGATGTTGCTATAGACAATCATCTCACAAAAGTGGCTCTCCTCATCTCTGTCCAAAAATATATAGGTCAGAAATCACACTGTGGCAACCTCTGCACTACAAGATTAATTTATTTTCAGATGTTAAACAAAAAAAACCAATCAACAAAAATGCTTTTAATTTTTATTAATTTGAATACGTTAATATGAGTTTATTTCAATTTCATATTTCAGATGTACAACAAAATTGGAAGGAACTTTTAAAGTGTAATATCCCTTTAATGAGAATCCTGTTCCTCTTTTCTTGTCTCCCTTCCAATTCACATTAACAGGGAATTCCTGTATTATTTTATATAGTTTCCAAAATTTCATTTAAATCCTAAATAGTATATATTAAATAAAATACTTGAAATATTTTAAAGTACACATCAATACAAATTAAATATCTATATTCAAATTCTTAAGTTAATGAAAAATATCTACAAATATTAAATACCTTTGATCAGCCATTCACAATGTGAATCTTCAGGGTAATTTCCACTCCCATCAGAAAATACACCAGAAGCGCCAGATAGAATCTTTCTCTGTTTATCACATGTATCTTTAGACAAAGACTTAGCTATTTTAGCCTGGCCACATATTGTTGTATGCAATAAAAATACTACAACCAGAGTAAGATTCCATATTAATCTTAAATGAGTCATCATGATTTTGCCAAAAAAGTTGTATACAATTTCTCATTATCAGGTACAATAAAATCATGATTTACTAGTAAGAAATTTCTCTGATGAATAATGTTAACTGAAGATTTTTTCTGTTTGGCCATATTTTAAATAAATATAATCAACCTGAAATGATAAAAGTTTAAATATTGATTAATTTCATTTTTTTACTGAAATATTTTATGATTAATGTCAAATATATTAATTAACCTGTAACATTTTATGTAACAAATTAACATAGGTTCAAAAACTTCAAAATCAAAAACTTAAGACTATAATATTAAACTGATTTTAATATTGCTAAGAGACGAAAATACATAACAATTATTCTTGTTTTATTCATTAGAAAAATAATTAAATATTCATTATTTTACCAAAACTAAATTACTATTTGAAAAATGATATTTCCATTCCTCACTCTATCTGTCAACATTAATTGATTTATTATAGAAATAAATATCAATCTCAAATTAACTGCTGAATTATCAGGCTATAATAAGGCTTTGTGATTAATTATAGGGTCATATTAGTATTTAATTAATTACATAGTACAGTGGTTCCCAAACATTTTTGATTCTCAGCACCCTTACTAAAACCAGATTTCCTCAAGGCACCCAAATGTCAAATTTGTAAGTTCGCCGACTTCCAGGGGGAATTGTTAATCCCACGTCAGGATGATCTAGGGTCGTTTGCATGTGGGTGTGGCGAAGGAGACACAGATGACAAGAATCTCACAAAACCCGTTTATTTTAAACATAAAAGTAAACTTACACTAAGGAACAAAAATGTTCTTTATACAATTGGTGGTTGAATTGTCGATGATGTCGATGATTGTTATAATGTTGCTCGAAGGAAGGCCCGGGGCAACGGCAGATGTGGAGATTCTTCAGTCGATGTCAGCGGTCTGAGTCCATAGTCACAGGTTACAAGTTGGGCACAACTGACGAAAAACTGCTTTTTTGTGTTGACAAACCGTGTGCAGGTGCACAAGTTTCGGAAAGTGAAAGTCCTTGAAGATCGGGGAATATATCAACCTCCGTTCTTTGTTTTGTTTTCTTCTGATTGGCTCCACGTTCCTTTTTTCTCGCTCCCAATTGGTCTCTCGTCTGTCTCTAAGTGAAAGACGATTCCTGTTCGAGTCACCAGAAAGATCTGCTTCAAAGAATCTACTTGACACCATCCGTTACTCTGGATGCAAAATGTTGATGGAACTTTGAAACTTGGGCTCATATTTTATACCACTGTTGTCTAGTCTGTGACATTTTTGAAATTTAACAACCTGACACGATGTCCCTTTTCATCATTAACCTTTCCTGTTTTCAAAATTTCTATGTTCTAATTATTTGCATATGAGCGACTTGTCAAAGGTCCATCTCTACTGGAGGTCATTCGTTTGCAATTATTAATCATTTATAATTATTGTGTTCTGTGTACATCAATAGCGTTTTTTTT